TGATATATATACACTTACATTATTAATATAATAAATGTTTTTTGAATGAATCTGTGTGTGGTTTGAAGTTTAATTTCCTTATTTGTCCAAATCGGACTTATGTCAGTCAAAGTAGATCCTTCCAGGGCGATATGTATCAAACACAAGACATTTGGGCTCCATAATGGGAAACGGGGTAGAAGCGATTGCCCGTCGTGTTTAATGTGGTGGTTCATGGTGGTTGTAGTGTTGTTGGGGGTGTTTGGAGTGTTCTGAAGTGCTTAAGGGTGGACGGAACTCCCAGGAGGTGGTGGTTGGTGATGGTCGATGGTGGTGGTAAGGTTGGGATTGATGATAGGGGTGGTTGTAGTGTTGCGGGGGGTGGTTGGAGTGTTTGAAGTGCATAAGGGTGGTCGAAAGTGGCGGGAGGTGGTGGTCGACGGTGGTGGGACGGTAGGGGTTGGTGGTGGTGGTGGCTGATTGAAGGTTGGGGGTGGCATGTTGAGGGCAGAATTTGGAGGCTGGGCTACAGGTTGCTGGTTTTTACTCTAGCAGAAAAACGCTGTCTGAGACAGCACTTTATGTTCTACGTAAGACGCGGTCTCAGACAGTGTTTTATGTACAAAAAAAATAGTACATAAAACGCTGTCTCGGACAGCGTCTTACGTGTATTTCAATTTTTTTTTATTTTTTTTTTATTTTTAATATTTAGAAATTAAGATTTTTTTTTAAAAAAAAAGACAAAAGGTAAAATGTTGTCCCAGACAGCGTTTTACAAATTGAATTTTTTTTAAAAAAATCCAGGACATAAAACGCTGTCCGAGACAGCGTTTTACCCTGAAAGCTTAATTTGGTAAATAATTTTGCCACGCAACCAATTTGGTAAATATTTTGCCAAATCAGCCTACTGTGGAGAAAAGACCCAATACAACAGAGAAATTTGTGCATCTCTTGAAATTGTCTAGGATAACCATGATTAACAGATTCATGGTCGGATTTTGAAACATCCACTTAGGTTGTGACTAAATTTTTTATTGAAGTATCTAAAATCGTTCAACTTGAACTACTTTCAATTTTATGTTAATAGTAAAATAATTATTAATATTACTTCGAGTAGTAAATAATTTAACCGTGTGAGATTTGATAGATTTTGTTCATTGAACTTCATTTTCGGAATTCAATGCGGTTTATTTCAGTTTCACTTTAGATCATTAATTCAATTTAATCTAACTTAACTATGTAATATAGTATTTTTTTTATTATTTATTAATAATAGTAGTAGACTAGTAGTAATGTACTCCGTTCATCCCAATTTATAGTTTTTGTTTGTGTTTTTCGCGGTATTTAAGAAATGGAAGGAGAAAATGGATGAAGTATATCAAAAAAAGTGACAAGAATAATTATATACAACAGCTAGAGAGAGAAAGTTGAAAAAAGTAAAAGGCAAGTGGGAAATTCAAGGGTAATTTAGGAAATTCAATGAGTAAAGTTAAAAAAATGAGGGTATAATGGTCTTTACATACTATCCAAAAATGGAAATAGAACAACATTTTGAGTCTCCAAAATAGGAAAATAAAAACTATAATGGGGGACAGATGGAGTATTAGTGAATGTTTGAGCCTAGTCCATGTCCTAAGCCCACTATAGCTGAAATAATGAAAATACCCTCCATAATCCAGCTCATCATCCTTAATCATCCATTAATCATACATCATAAAGTACATATTTACCCCTAATCTGTCCAACAAATTACAACTTTGTCACCTGAAAGTAAATCTATAAATAGCAAGCCAATGATTAATGATGGTAACTTTTTCTAATCTCTCATTCTCTCTCTACTTTCCCTATCTACTTTCTTTCTCTAGAAAGTACATTCACTGACTTGAGTGTCGGAGGGGCGTTCCCGGGTCAGCCCCCCGGGACAACTTACCTTCTCTTTCTTGCAGGCGGAGCTCTCAGATAACTTACAAGGCGAAACTCAAGTGCATTTGGACATTGGACATCTTGCTACCTAATTTACCCTTACACACCAAGGAGAATCCTGTTTCCAGAAACAGTAATATAGTCTGATGATGATGATAATATTAATTAATTAATATAGTAAAAATAGTAGCAGCTATTCAACTTAGTTCAGTGCAGTTGAGTTCAGATTAATTCAATCTAAAAGAATGGGGCCTAAGAAGTGTCTTCAATACATTAAACATATCTATGGGTTGTGATAATGACCGACTACCCGTGTTAGAATACACGACATAACAAAGATATATATACATAAAATAGTACACCCTTTTTCTTCCCTTTTTTTTTTTTTTTTTTAAAAAGTGTCTCAATTAAGTTGACTCTTATATTATTCACACACACCACTTTGATCAATGTTTGCGCTTTATATATAAAAATAAATATACTCTTCCGTTCCTTTTTGTTGGTTACGTTTTGACTTTGCATGTTTGTCAATGTACTTATTTGACCATTAATATCTTTAATTTTATACTTGTAAAAATTATTAACGATTGAATATTAATTAAGTACGTACTCGTCGAGATGAATCAAACAAGACCCCACACGACTATATTATGATTTGTATTTTGGACATGAATTAGAAGATTCTCTCATATTATGAATAGTTTCAAAAATTAAAATGTAACCAATAAAAAAAAAACGAAGGGAATAGTTATGTAAATTCTTGTTAGAATCGCCTCTAACGTATTATTTTTAAATATCAACGTTTTATAATTTATATTCATTGATAATCAAATATATCATCGCTCGAAATTCCGGATTAGCAAATGTATTTGTCAAATAGTGACACTTGAAATAAACAAAGATATACTCCATAGTTTAGATATTCTAACTAGCTAAACATATTAGGAAATAAAAGGGATGAATAAAACTAGAAATTATCAAAATTTCATATTCAAAGCTAGGTCTAATCAAGAATGAGAACGTTCTATTCTTATAAAATATGAGGTCATAGTTTGGATAACATGACATTTTCTACTATATATACCATTCATCAATAACTAGATATACTGAGACAAGAATATGGTTGTAATAATTATTAAATGGATTATTCACTTTATACACCATTTTCTTTTATTTGAAAAAAAAAATAAAAATAAAAGTACCAACGATTCCATAAAGTGTTAATTTAATAATTATTTAGTGCAGAAAGTGTTGATTAATACAAAATATAATAATTAGCTAGCATAAATTTCCCAAAGATGACCATATTATGTGTATCTTATAATTCTTTACACCTTTATTTTCAGCCCCAAATTTGCATCATCTTTTATAAACATCCATATTTGAGGGGGCCATTTATCCACTTGATCAAAGGTTGGTAGGTCAAAAGAGGTTGTTTCTTTTTCAAACAAAAATCTTAGCTATTAATTTTTTAAGAAAAAAAAAAAAAAAAAAAAACTATATTAAGAGAACAAACCGTTATTAAAATGTAGTCAAAAGGCAATATTATTTGTATAATATACATTTGACTAAGAATCTATGGCTTGGACCACAAAATTTTTATTGTCTTTTTTAATTAACAAAGGCCTATTTTTCGTCAAAAACAAAGGTCTATTATTATTATTATATTTTTTTTTTTACTTATTTTATGGAGTATTTTATTTTCGAAATATATAATTTTAGATAAAATAAATAAGTTTAAATAATATAAAATTAAATTAAATAATTCAAACACAATAAGATAAAATAATTTTAATTAAAATAAATTAAGTTTATATAAAATATGATGAAATAAAATAATTTTAGACAAAATTAAATGAAACAAACGGAACTAAAATCTTTGATATTCAATGTGGTTTTTATGTTTAAAATTTTTTTCAATGTAATTGGGGTGATTGAGTTTGGGTTGGGTATATTTTACACTGGATTGGTTAGAAACTCAAAATCCATGTGTCCAATGAGCCCAAACTCCAAGCTAATGGGTCTTACATGTTCCTTTTATATATAACTCAAAGTTTTCATCAGGACATACTAAGCATTTACTGAGTATAACATAAACCAACGTGTGATTTTATTGTAACTTTCTAATTAAATTGAAATACAAGCTCAAAAATTATATTTTAATCACTTTTATTAAGGACATAAATATAATCTGTTTGAATCATGATTTCAGGATTTCTTTAGGAAAGTGAATAAGATTGCCGATTACAAAATAATCATACCTCACCCTCTCAAGTTTTAGGTAATGTTAAAAGTTCGTTTATTTTTTTAATGGAAACGTAAAACATAATCTTTTACATTTTTTACTCCGTATTTTTTATTTATGGAAACCTGAAAACATATTCAATGCAAAATTAAAAATTAATGTTTAATAAACAAAAATTTATACCAATACAACGTACTTCTTAGAAGTCGCGTCATGCAAGATTTTGCCTTCTTTAAGATTAACCTTTATGACAGCCAAATTTGTTTATTTAAAATAACTGTCATTTGACTTCATTAGTTCATTTTTGAGCTTGTGCCTCTTTACAGGAGATCTGGTGGTGTTCTCTTTTCAGAGCTCAAAGTAAATGTTATTAGTGCCTTTTATTTCCACTTTCCAGTAAATAAAGAAAATAGAAAAGGAGCAACAATTTACTAAACCTGATTTACTTTCACCTGCCAAGCAAAGGGTAACAGAATCTGACATAAAATCTCTCTGATGATTTTTAGTTAAAGGGGATCAGGTTAAGAAAGAGAAGTTTCAGATCACTTTTTAAATTCAGATATGCCAAGTAGCTAGAAAAAACAACGGTAAATGTAGCACAAGTACAGTAGCACAAGTACAGTTAAGGAAAAGCAATGGTAAAGGTAGCTGACTTTAAATTAAGTTTTGATAAGTTTAAATAAGATAAAATAGGTAAAAATCAGATAAATAGAATACACACTAAATTACTACGTAAGGAGTACTGTAAGAAATACGAGCATATTTTTTAATGTTATTCACAAAAGGTATTCCCACGTTCTCATTTTATTTGCTCAACTTGACCAAGAATTTGATAAGACAAGTAACACGAAACTTAGAAGTACATCATAAACATATTACATAACCAAATAGATCAATTTTTTCTATACAACAAGAATACATGGTTTGTTTAATTTGCAGCAAATTAATGAACAATATGGTCGACAATGTAAAGTATAACAATGCGCTCTATCAACACAAGTATACAACCTAGCTCACCTTGTGACCCAGTGAGCTCCCCTCGCTCTTGTTTTGTTTTTCTCTATATCATCAGCTAAAATATCCTAAACATCGCTACAATGAATACAATAACAAAGTTTCAGCGGCTCACGCAGGCACGCAGCATTGCCTCCACACACGAGCCTGGCTTCATGGGCAAATATTATACACAAGCAGAAACGCAATGGTATATTTATACATGTATAAGAATGGAGCATCTCCTTTCTGCTGGAGAAGGCCAAGATTGGGAGGAAAACCCATTCGTTGTTGTGAGATTGCTGATAAGAATGAATACACAATTTGCAAGCCGAAAACACGATCATACTTTGTACGAGTACTTAATCAAGAGAGAGGAGCGGAGTTATATGATCATTGGAGATATCAGAGAAACTAGGAACTCTATGACAACCAGAATTTGAGCACTGCAAAGGAGATAATGCAGGGTCCATGTAGGCAGTAATCAGCTCAGTAAAGAACTGCGGCATTTGTGGATCACTTAAATCTTCTCTGTCCTTCTTTATCAAGGTCTGAAAGAAATAAACATAGGATGAAGCATGGTTTCAGGAGTAAAAAGACGAAACGAGGGGAAAGTGGAAGGGGATAAATTGATAGGACGAACTTAAGACCAAAAATCCAAGAAAAAACTAAATAATAATACTACAATGAGAATGATCCTAAATTGAAAAGTAGAAATAGCAACTATTTTGAAAATAATCTCCTATGTTGAAAGGGTTATTGACCATAACGCCCAGATCAAAGATACAAACCCTCATCCACGTTCATTTTCTAGACGTTCTACATTCTAGCTGTAATACCACAACCAATCCCTAAAAACGAAAGATTGTCCCATATTGGGAGTATATACCACATGCCATACGCTTGATGAAAAAGAAAGTTACATAAGATCACTAATCTCGTGATTTATGAATAAGAAAACACAGCTGTGATTAAGGTCTACATGAATTTTTCTCAAGTAAGAGACCATCAAACAACAGTAGTATGATTGGAAAACAAGCAAGGCCCCTGTATCCATTAAAGGAGAGCACCAACCACTTCTCCAAGTCCTCTTTGAGTCTTGACTCTTGAAGGATGTTGAAGAGCATCACGCAAGCATTTAAGTATAATATAAATATGATATATTATTTAAATGCATGCTTCAAAAGACATACATATGAACACAGAAATTTTTGTAGGTTCATTTGCATGCATGTTTAGTGCCATAAATTACTTGTATAAACGTAGCACGTACTGATTATGCATCTTAGGGTGTTTCTTCTTAAATTTTTGGACTTATCATAACTTATTTAAATATATATTGTTCGAGAACTTGAGAGTATGACTAAACTTATTGAAACTAACTAAAAATAGGTAATCTTTTCAGAACTTGAGAATATGGCTAATCTTATTGGAACTTCTATATGCTCAAAAGTGGTTTTGTAAGTAAAGGTCATGGAATTACTATATGACAAAAAGAACATAAATTGCGAGAGAGTGCAGTCTCTTATCTCATCTATATTGGAGGATGATCTAGCTCATAATATTCACTAGCAAAGGAGCACATCAATTCTCAAGACAGAAACACATCTACTTTGTCAAGATCACAACTGGGATAATGGGAAGCCATTTCCATTCAGAATGAAATCACAAGCCAATTGACATAGGAATATTTAAAGGACCACAGGCACGTTGCAAGAAAGAGCATACCTCAGCAGAATATATGGAAAAATTTGGTAGAAAGCGTTTCCGGCAATACTCATTAAACAGAAGCGTAAGTACAGGAAGAGGGAAAATTAGTGATGACGCGGATGAAAGTTTCTTCACTGTAAAGATGCCCAGAGCAATAGCATGCATCAGTACAAGTGAAAAGATCATGCAGTTATGAACGGTAGGCCAAAATCTTCCAGCAGTTTCAAACTTTGGAGCATATACATGTATAAACTGCAAGGTAAAAGGACAGAGCAATAGAGCATTAGTCGAATCTTCATAATTGTGGCAAACACCAAAGTATGTGGGCAACAGAAAACTAATTTCTAATAGCTTGTCTTAATTGATAAGAACACAAATCTAATAGCTTGTCTTAATTGACAGGAATACAAAACCATGGGATGTCTAATATTTTGATTTGTTAACATATACAGCCTTCGCCCTGTGTTACTTCGACTTTAAAAAATAGATAAGCTGGGATTCCAGATTCATATTTTCAGGGGTCTTACTCATTGCGGCCAGGTTTCATGCCATCTTGGTGTCCAAGCATTAGAAAAAAGTAATTAATATGAAAATAATTGTCAAATTTGAGTTCCACATATAGCCATGGTCTCCTTTTTTCCTTCAGACTACAACACTGTTACGATCTTGTCTCATTTTCCATTTTGGGGACCTGCAGTGATTATGTTGTGAGGTAGTTCACCTTATCCTATTTTAAGAAAGTGTGGACTACAGATTGAAAATAGTCAAACACACAGCTTTGGCAACAGCAACACAATCATCAGCTTCAATATCATGCAAGAAAAAAAAATACAGAAAGGACAGTCTTCCATAGCATAAATCTAACACTGAATTGTTATCTTCAGAATAAGTAATTTGCTAGGGAATTAAGGTGGTTAAGAAGGAAAGACACTGAGGTTACCTGATTTTTGTAAATTACATATGCAAGGAGGAAGTAGACCAACAAGAAAGGCAAAATGAGCGGAGCCAGGAAAAAGTATGTGATGCCCAAAAGTCCAAAAAATAGAATCTTGGGGATCTCCCTGTGATAATATATATATGGAAGGTCAAATTCAATTGAAGGTGTTCTGTTACAGCAGCAGCACTTTCGAAATAAGCTTTGGATCAGTTGAATAATTCGAAAGAGATCAGCTGTTGTGCTTGTCCATCCCGAAGTGACGACATAAGCAATGAAGAAAGATGCCTACAGAAAATACCAACAAAAATGTAAAGAGTTGTAAAATAGTACCTTCAGGGAATTCTGCTAATTTCCTCATTCAATAACTCATTACAAGAAATAAGAGCCTCAAAAGCTCCATCACGTAGAAAGTAACATGCTGGATGGCAAGTTAATATCAACAGAGGAACAGAAATGAATTTAATATACAAAAAATATAATACTACATACTTCCCCCCCTCCTCCCCACACACACACCAAAAAAAAGGTTTGTCATTACTAAGTACACTAGAGATGAATCAACAGAAGTTTGGAGCATTAGAAAGATTTAGCTGTTGAGGATCTATATCAGAAGTTGAAGTCATTGGCAACAGCAGCCACACACTTTAGTATGGGCATGCTGACTATCTGCCTGAAATTGGCCGAGTTTGCCAAGATACAAAAGGGCAGGCATGCAGCTCAGTACAGCTATGTAGGGCATCAGCATGAATGTCCTTCTAGAGCTACAAGGTCACTAGGGTCTATGACATGCCACTTGGTTTTTTCTGGCAATGAGTTAGTTGTTCATGTTTTCATTCAGTGATTTTAAGCTGATAATATAGTTGTATAAGTAAGAATTATACTAGAGTTGTGTTTTATTCCTAATTTCTTTGGGGTTTCTGGCATAAAATGAATATCCTCAAAGATAAGATGAATTACTTTATTGTTGTGCATAAGTTTGTAATCTATTAAAAACTCTCACATCAACATTCCACCAGGTCAAAAGACTCAAAACTCGTTCTAGTACCAGGAAATAAAAGCTGAATTGGCTCATAGTCCTATTCCCTGAACATTGTATATTACACATTAAACAAAATCCTAGATCCTGCCACTGCTCTCCAAAAAGAGCATGGAGATCGACACAAGCATTCCATGTCACACATTATTTACAAAAGAGAGTAACAAGGCAAAAATGAGTTTGATAAGTTCCATATCACAAAATATTAATTTATGCCAATTCCAAGTAGGAAGATAAGATTAAAACAGATGTACAAAGGGCAAAGAACAATAAAAGAAACTACAGATGTGAAGGACCACAATTGAATAGCCAGAAAAATAACACTTAAAAACAGCCAGAATATTCACAAATAAATGTAAAAGCTCTACCTGTGCTGGGACAGAAACTGCTAAATGTGAAGGAATGTTTTTGAGATCAAGGAGAACAGCAAATAGGTTGAAAAATGATCCAGACAGCACATTAGCAAAAAAGATGTTCCATACAATAAACCAAAGGAACTTGTCACATGCACTTCTTTGTATCTCACTGTAGGATATATGTCCTTGAATTGATGAAAGGAACTCCATGACAGGAGGCACCAGTTTTACAAATATTTGGAGAATAAGGTTTGGTAGATAGCCTGTAACTATTTGACGTACCATTTTTCTGCAAGAGCAGAAACAAAACTTATTTAATGATATTACACTAATTGTAGCTTCAAATATGGACCAAAAACTACAAAATAATTTGTACATATTAGTAATTTGGATAACATACTAGACTTGCAATATGAGAAATTAAGGAAGAAACATCAGCACACTAATTATTTAATCATGTTTCACAGTATTCAGCCATGCAAAAACACTAGAATACAACTTCTGAATAGGCACAAGATCATACTAAAATGTTTTGGTGTTGCTACAAGTATGATTAAACCTAATGTGAATGGAACCAAGATTAATACTATAGTGAAAAGCTAGGACTCCTGATGAATTGATACAGCACTAAAAAGCTTCTAAAAAGGCTGTCTCTGGAAAGCATGATAAACTAAGAAGGACAACAAGACTAACTGCCACATAGTCAAAAAGTGACAAAGTAGTCACCCATATACTAAATTTTTTCTACTGGCTGAAGCGGCTGATCTGCAAATCTGCTATATGCCTTTACCAAATTATATCAGCGGAATATAGAAATAAAAAGGGAAAAGTACAGGGATATTGGGGAAAAAGTTAAGAAACATAACTAGCAATGAACAGCTAGCATTCTCATAATGGAGTATCTGGTGTTCATCACTCACATCTTCCCTCACCAACCAGAGAATTTAGGAGAATTTTATTGCAGATTGAGCAAGTTTAAGGCCTAATTATATTGATGGAACTCAGAAGTATTCATGATAAACTTAGCAATGAACACAGAAACTCACAAGATGGCATAACCACTTACGCAGTCAAAAAGTCTTTCAGGGAGGGAAACCAGACCTCCAGTTGGGACAGATTGGCAAGACTTTGCACAAGCACAACTGGTATGAGAAACAGAACAGTAAGAAGTATGCTTGTGATTATTATCACCACTCTAGACATCCATCTATGCAAGAATGTTGATTGGAAAAATGGCCAGTACACATCATTTGGCTCAGGAGCTTGCTCCGTAACCCATTCTGTAGGTTTTTCAGATTGCTGTAAACGTGAAGCAATTGCAGCACCAAATCTAGATCTGAAGAATACAAAAGCAGAACGTACTTCCTTCACCACGGTCAAAAGTAGAAAACAAAGATGTCAGCAACCACAGACAACCAAAACTATAACATAGACTTAATATTGGAAGACAACAGCTAAGAGAAGATGTAGATTTTAGATAAAAATATGGAAACTAGGTCTACTTGACCTAATAATAAAGCAATAACAGAAAAGCCCTTCCCCTAGGCTAGTGTATTACACACCACAAGAGAAGATTATCAATATTAACTTGTGTGGAGATGCCAGAAATTTTCTTTTCTAACTTTTAGCAACTGAACAATATTGCATGCAGATAATAGGGAAATGAATAAAAGGGGTTTATTCTATCGTTTTGTAGTTTGTTAGTTTTTCAGTGACCTGGTCCCTTGTCAGCTGTTAGAAACTTAGAGCTAAGAAATAGTCAAAAACCAGAGCATTTAAATGTAGTCCCTTAGTGAAACCTGTTTGTTTTTCTAAGCCTAGGAAAAAAAAAAAACCTTTCAGTTGCCAGGCAGTTCAACTGTTCAAGTTGGGGCACTATAACTAGGGCATCGTTGGCAACCCAGGAAAAAGAGGAGGGGGGAGGGGGGGAAGCAAGCACTTTATGACCCAAAGTGATGTCGAGTGCCTAAATTCGTATAAGAACATCCAAAACCTGCCAACTGAGACTTTCAGACACTTTTTTCTCACTTGAAAAGGAGTAGCATCATGATCCAAAGTGAGGAATAAAAACATTATAAACCACCCCCCCCCCAACACCATTATAGCTCCGGTTTTCACATAAATCTCAAAAAGAAAAATCTCCTAAGCTAACAATCAATGCATAATTAGAGAAGAAGCACAAGTCATTCGCTGCAGGCATTCACTGTCAAAGGGTAATGATATTGCTCATGCCAACCACATGTCACAGTTTTGAAAACAAGTATAAATGGTCCGAAATGTCATGTTGGCCCATGTCTACAGATCTTTTTGAGTCCTTAGTCCCCACTGATAGAAAGAAGTCTAATTATTTTCACAAGGCCAAAGATCTTCCCCTGAGCTAAGCATGCAAGATTTGTCACTCTAGGCCCTATATTTTCATTAGGCCCAAAGATCTTCCCTTGAGCTAACAATCACGGGAAATCTATGAGAATGAAGGCCATCATATCTCATCACTCCTCAGACAACAAATTAGTTCATGCTCTAAACTTAGTTTACGGTCCAAAGATTGAGAGTTAAGTCAAAATTCTTGGTCTTAAGCAAACCAAGTCTCACAAGCCTAAAAGGAAGCAATTTGATGCAATAAGTAGGCCACTCCACAAAATCTGACATGGGAAAGATGAGAAGGATCCCATTCTCCATAACTAATAGAATCACTATATTTTAAAACTCTCCCTCAGTAGCATGCACAGGATGTTTTCAGCCTGAGTGTCCAAAACCAAACCATGGGTGACTGGGAATTTCTTCAGGAAAATGATCTGCCCTAAGCAGCATAATATACACGCACACAGTTATGTATTCACTAAAAGAAGAGAAAAGGCGGCAGATTTTTGCAGAAATTGTTCACAAAGAAGAACAAGTGCATAATGGGAATCTAAATTTCTAGAGAAGATGATGATGCATCTAATGCTTAAAACCTTAATATATTATTTTAAGATAAAGGCAATGGTCTTCCGGGGCTTTCACTTTTCCAATTCATCTTTTATATAAATGAAAGTGATACTAAAGGAATAGCACCGCTTCAAGAAATGAACACTTGAGCTACATTAACAAGTCCAATAACTTATCTGTAGACCTAAGTTATAAACTCTACTGATGAGAAATAAGATAATAACTATAAAATAATCTTGAAGCCAGGGTGAAATTTTGAAACTCATACAATTTTGCCCTTATAAAGCCTTCGAGCAGTACTCGGACACAAGCTTTAGTTACTACTTTTCCTCTTTCCTCAAGTTCTTGAGTTTTTAGTGCATAGTTAAACCTTAACCTGCCTAGTGGACACATCAGATCATTAGGACCCAAGAAAATTTTAAACCGTTTTCATATCCCAATCTCATTAGGATATACATAGTGAGATGGCAGAAGATGAATCTAGAAAAAAATTCCAAACAAACACTAAAGCTTATTGGCCTGCATAAGAATAGGATTATAGCACTACTTAATGATTTATAGCATAATAAATTAGTTAGTCAGTTACAATGACATATCACAAAAGTAAGATTAAGCATCCCTCTAGGCCTTTGTCTCAAATGGACCTACTATCATGTAGAGGTAAGGATCAAAAGATAATCATAACACAACCTTCAACAACAACAACAGCAGCAACAAAAAAGGAACCAGTATGAGGCGGAACTATTCATGACATACTTGCCCAGATAAAGAATCATCCGACTGCTTTGCTCTCAGATTTTCTTCTAAATCCACCAGCTTCTGCTCAAGATCAGATTTGTGCAATCCAAACGAACCAATATGCCTGGAATATTCTTTGGCAGATTCTGATTGTCTATGTGTTAGTCTTCTATACATTTTCTTCACAAAATTCTAAGAAAAAATACAGGCAAAGATCAAAAATAGAATACAGAATAGCCTCATTATATAAAGCTTAAAAGATCAATTGCCTTAATAAGAAACGGACAAGCACATCTAAATGCAATAAATCAGTGCAACTCAAATGATATTCACTGTATCAATTCGTATATGTAAGAGTGAAAGATGGAAAAGGAGAACCTCAGCAGATGAATTAATTTAAATATTCAATTTCATTGTATTCCAAAATCAGTAGGGAAAAAAAGCTTAAACTGCAAGCTACTTGTAGGATAAAATTAAAAGCAATCCAATGTCCTAGACTCCCAACATAATAAGTTATTAGGTAGCCAAGCATAACAAAAGAATAATTGAAGATCTACTAAACAATAAGTATATTCTAAATGCATGTAGAAACGTAGGAAATTCATTCAAAAGATATCCTACATGCTGCAAAATAGGAATTCAATGCCCATTTTCAAGTAACATAACAATTTCCCAAGCATAACAAGGTCATCAATAACAATAACAATAACAATAACAATAACAATAACAATAACAATAACAATAATATAAAAAAAAATCAGAGCACACTGGCATTCAGAAACTACCAGATTCATGCCTCTATTTCTCCGATTCTCCGAAACCCTTGCAATACCCATGTCTGACATGTACTCAGCACCTCAATGGATATGGGTAATTTTTGGTTTGGTCCTCAAGTTATAATGTGAAAACATTCAAAACTATTTAGTATCCATCTCAGATACTTATACTGAGTCCTGCACTTTTAAAGTGTTGTGGAGTATAAATTTGTGTCGAAACTAATTTCCTTGCTACTGATCTAAAATTAACAAAGTAAGAAACAAGCAATATCCCATTTGCTATCAAGAATAAGATGAATACATTTATCAACAGCAAAAAAAAAAAAAAAAAAAAAAAAAAAAGAAAAAAAAAAAAGATGAACTTGGACTACAGACTTAGGCTCAGAAAACATACAACAACAATAAATGAGAGTAAATATTCGAATTAAGCAATAGAACTTACGATAAGATAGAAGAGTTTATTTGTCCGATGAATCACCACGTGAGACAAATAAGTAGTGGGATGATACTCCTTAAAGAAATTGTTTACACTTTCACTCACACTGCTCCCAGGAGTTACAGGGATCCCACGCACTAAGATTGTAAATTGATGTGGCTGAGGTTTGGATGCATAAAAGTATGCATTCCTCTTCGAACAAATGTAATCATATTCCTGCAGAAGCATAGGTATTTGATATTCAATCAGCACATCATCTAGCAAAGACTTTCTCACATTACTACCTCTGGTATCACCAATCAATATCTAGGGTTAACATGCCGAAGCATGATCAGTCCAAAAGAAAAGATATAAATTCAGACAAGTGTTGATCGCTAGTCTTTGGGCAAAAAAGAGTAATTAGCAGAGAGAACAGCACAAATGTCAAAGCTATATTTCACGTCAACCTCTAAAGTCAACAAAAAACTTTCAACACAGTACTTGGCCAAATAGAATTTTGCATACTCTTAAGCATGCGACTATGCAAGCTTCCTTATCATAGAACACAGTGAGAGTGAGTGCACACTGTCATTAGTAGATAAGTTCTACTACCTCCATTTCTTTTTATTTGCAACAAATGAATTTTTTATGTCTCACACAAATTACCCCTTTGTTGCAAATAAAAAAAAATGGAGGTAGTAGAAAATTTGCAGCCACTGATAGATGGCAAGATGATTTTCATATCAGTGGGATAGTTGGCTTAAGTAATGCTACAGAAAGCCTTTAACTTTAACAGACAACTTGACAAGCCTAATGCTTAAATTTTGATGTGATATGAGACTAGTAATAATTAATCCTTCGTTCAGAAGCAGTCAACAGCAAGAAATACATTTTTCTAATTATTCTGCTGAAGTTTGCATTGATGTAAATTGTCAGTGTCCTCAAACAGAGTAACATGAGAAACACTGTGGACACAAACGACAAAAACATTTAAATTATATATAGCTGTGACTGGCTTGGGAGTTCAAGATGTACCAAATTCACAAGGGAGTTTCTGGCACTTGGGCATGGAATAATAAATATTTTTTCTAAGGAAATTAAATAACAATAATTAACATATATAAAGAAATAATACTTACATGATAAAGTAGATAACAGACAAAGCCAGTAATCAAGTATACAGCAGAACAGTGGGCCCACAACCTGCCACAAAAACACATTCCACAAGTAAATAGCTCTGCTTGATTGAGAAAACTGAGAATAAGAGTGTTATAATGAGCATATTTTTTTCAGATAATGAAGAAGAGCCATAGAATGTGCTAATACATTTACCATTTAGACCCATTGTTAACATTGGAAATGGTAAATAAATCCAAGGTTTCATTGGAGATGACAGTAATATCGAATGCTGCAAGCTGCGTCCCAGAACAATTGATTGGAAGAAGAATAAAGAGGCCTATAATCCCAGCGAAAGTAAATATTTTCAAACTGCGCACAAATGCAGTAATGGAAGTTAAAAATTGAAAGAAAAAAGGGACTCTTGATCTCAAATAAACCCTCACAGTAAACAGACCATTGCAACATAAACTTGACAGGAATTACAGTAAAAATAAAATACATTCTGAAGGGGAAAAAAAGGGGGTTTATAGCACCTCATTTTAGAAAATTGTATCAGACACTTAGTATATCAATAAGCCAAGGAAGTCTTATTTGCTGTCCAAATTGTATCAGACACTTAGTATATCAACTATGAAGAGAGAAGCCAGAATCATATGTGTATAGTGTATTAGAAATTCTACAAGTCGATTGTTACTTTAAGGTCCCATTTTGAGATGCATTGCTGATTGATGCACCCTATGATGCTACACAACCAATGCCCCTTTCCAAAATTTAAGCCCCAATGCTAATTATGGAGAACCTTGCAGCGAAACTAACATAAAGTACTGATAAAAAGGTAATCACAGATTTCGAAGTCACCGTGGTTCCCTTTTTAGGTTCTACCTCAGTAATATTGGCTGGTAAATTGTAATAATATTATACCTCTTTACAACAAAATTTGAATTAAAAGGTGATAAAGTAATTTTGACCCCTATTGTCACAGACTCTCAGTGACACCCTTTCTGTCAATGAAGGCAAGAATTCAGAAATATTTATTTTAGGCACCAAACATGTCTTAAATACTCCGTAGTTGAAGTTCCAAAATTTCATCAGCAATATTTACCAGAGGATGATGATCCTTATGAAAACTACAGCATCCAAGCCTGTAGTTGACAATAATTCTTCTTCGGTAAGTTTCCATGCTATTTTTACCCAACCAGGAGAAGGTAACAGCCGCTTCAGGCGGATAAGACGATTCCTTTCAATCCCTTTTGCAGCCAATAAGCGTGGCACATATACATAAAGATACCCTGGTTGTTTTCTTAAGATAGAGTACAGTGCAAAGAATAATATACAGAGGGCGGAATTTATTCCAACAGACGTCAGAAGAGCAGAAACAATCATTGTGGGGCAGTATCACTAATTATCTGAACAGAACTTGCATGCCTGCCATGAGAAAAAAAGAAATATAAATAAATATATATATATATATATATATCAGTCACACATGCAGTATATTTGAAAAATATTGATCAACATAGAACAGCATGTCATAAACCGAAAAGGTAAACAGGAAAAACTAAAAAAGGGCAATTGCATTAGAAAGAGATGAAGAGGTTGTGCAATGCGCGTGTATAGGAGGACCATACATACTATACCATGATGCAATTCTTCTAATAGGATACTACCTAGGACGGATTAAGCAAGGGTTAAAAAAAAAAAGCGCTCTGCCACTAATAAATTGTAAAAAAGGCTCTCTAGCCTTACCCTAGATACAGAGTTTTTTTCGCATAAGACTCTTGACCCAAAAGGCACTTGGCTTACTACTTCACAGCAGAAATGAAGTAATTGACAATTTGACAGTATAGAAAGATATTATTACTTAGGTACGATGAAAAAATGTAGTCTGAAAACCTTATAATCCATACACATATTAAACTTTGGAAGCAATTACCCTTGTGGATATGGGTGTTAATCCACTGATACATTCAACAAACAGCACTTGAAATGTTGAACACATGCTACAAAAATTCATAATTCACCATTCTTCGGAGTCACCTAATAAAGGACTCACCTTCTTGTCACTTTATTTCAATTATGTTCAAAAAAATTCATTTACATAGTTCACGTAAATTTAAATAAAGGATGGGAATTTAGGAGGATATTCTTATACCTATAAACATCACATCAATCGCAAGCCACACATTAGATATTGTTCAGATTTGTTGATTTCATACAAGTGGCCAAATCAGTGATGCAACTTTCTCAACCTGAACCACATGTGAAGCTTTTACTCCGTAACTTAGACTGGTCCATAATCAAGAATTGCTAACCTACATCATTTCTACTATTTAATTTTTATTTTATTTTTAGCATTACAACTTTTTACAAGGTTAGGCTTTATTGAGTCCAATAAATCAGCCTCTTCATTATGTGCATTTTTTTGCCACATAAAGTGATTCCTTTTTCTTCCCTAAAATTTAGGGTGGTTTTACGTTTGCCTACTGGAATATCTAAGGCTTTCTACTTCCACTTCTCCGTAGCATCAAGATAAACACTCAAACAACTAACATTATCATCGTTATTACTTCCTCTGTTCTCTTCTAGTTGCAACATTTTGACATTCACGTTTTCCAATGCAATATTTCAACCCTTTATATCTCTAGTTATAGACAAGTAAAAAGTATAAAAATGTGATATTGTGAAAATTATAAATCGAGACGAATTTAACAAGATCCTAAATGACTATATTTTTCCAAACATATAAATCAATAAAGATGGTCAAATGAGAAAATGTGAATAGCGCAAATTCCCAAATGTTGGCACGTTGCAACTAAAAAGAACAGAGAAAGTATTTATGATTGAAAACCACGATGTTTTCAAGTCGTTAAAATATGTAGTCCCCTAGATTAAAATTGAAATATTGTTATATAATCCCAGAGGAAAAAGTCTTCGCAAATTAATTAAGAATATAAATTCTCTAGTTCACATAAAAAATAAGAAAAATTGCAATGAAACATTTTCATAAGAAAATACTTTCCACCGACCAAAGAGAACCTTAATTGAAAGGTGAAACATAAGAGAACATATTAATTCAATGCACTATGAAAAATTGCAAACTTAAGACATAAAAGCATAAGTAAGTGAGAGATGAAAGATTTACAGACAGCCTTCACAAGAAAGAGCCTAATCATGTCTCCCTATAGCTCCATAAGCTATCATTTTATCACCTTATCTTCTAAGACCAATCTCACTCATGAAGCTATCTTATTGATCATTGTCAGTAAACCATAAGCTAACTTGAACTACCCATAAAGCAAAGCATAAGTGAACCTAGAGTAATTCAAGAATCTATCATCATCCACCTTTCCAATGGACAACACTCATTGCCCTCTTTCTAAGTCGACCTCATGCTAATAGATACCCATGATCACCTCCATCGGATTACAAACATCCCAATTGAACCAAGTCAACCCACAAATTATCAAAAATTCAATAGACTAAACCCAATAAATTAATAATGGACCAAAAGTCAAATACACTCTAGCTTGTGAACTCCAAGTACAAGAAACTAGTTAATGGACAAATCTCAAATACTCAAAATTAATGCAAAAATCAAACAAACAAGCCATTGTTATAGCAAACATCATCTAAGCATATTAGTAGATGCTATTAAATTAAATCAAAAGAGCCAACTATAAATCAAAAAAATTACTAAAAACTTAAGGTGTTACCTGACTAAAGGAAAGAAATTCAGTTCACCCAATTGAGCAGTTTACTTGATTATTAAAGTAGCAATACCAATCAAAATACCCAGATCAAAATACAAATAAATTTGCAGAAAAGTGAAGAAATTAAGCAAAATTCCGAACCTTTTTTCTGGGTTTGGAAGAAAACGAGCAAAAATTGGCGCTTTTTCCCAAAGATATGAGCAACCCAGAAGAGGGATAATTGTCTCTTGGCTATTGATGGAATTACCATTCAGCAATTCAACCATTTTTTGGGATATTTAATCCATTATATAATGAAGCATGAGTAGTTTTTTCTGTTGGTTTATTTTATTTTCTTATTACATTTGGCATATTTTTGAAGTTGGATATTTGAAGACACTTTTCTAATACAGACAATTCTAAGTTTCATGGTTGAAAAAGATCAAATACCTGCTACGTCAATTGTTTAATGTCGACAGTGAATGGTTGAAAGAGAGAAGTTTTTTTTTTTTTTTTTTTTTTTTTTTTTTTTTTTTTTTTTTTTTTTTTTTTTTTTTTTTTTTACGAGAGAAAGAGAAGAGCTTAGATACAAGTATAAGTTATCTTCGCAATATTTTGCATACAGTGATTAATCCTTTTTTTTTTTTTTTTTTTTTTTTTTTTTTTTTTTGAAGGAAAGTAATTAAACTATTTTTGTTGTTATTTTTATTAGGCAAAAGCTAACGAGCGTTTTGTGGCATTGGATAAGAGAGCTAAATGTAAAAATATTATAGTAAAATTAACATTAATTACACCGATCGACACGTGATTTTTTCATGCATTCCGAACTTAATAGTATTTTAAATTTTTAAGTAATATATTAATCCCTTATCTAACGTCTCGTGGCGCTTGTTAGCAAAATCCTTTTTATTAATACTCCGTATTATTTAAAGGGGTTGTTCCGGTTTCTCAAATTGAGAAATATTTTTTGTTTCTCTAATGGCAAAATATGTAAATATTTACAAAGTTTTTAATTTTTTATTATTTTTTTGCTGACTCACATAATTAGCATTAAATGTTGTTTTTTATTTCTCATCTTCTTGCCGTTAGTTGTTGTCTTTCACTCTTTCCTTCTTCATCCTCCCTTCTTCTTCCTTCTTCAATTTTCTGCAACAATGGTGATTATGGTGTAATTTGCCCAACACCACAACGTACATTGTCCTCAACAACACTAACACCACAACAAACCCCGACCCAACACACCAATTCCGACGGCTTAGCCGTCGAATTTAACGAAAAAGTCTAATATACATATGTAAATTAAGGGCATGGTAAACCCTAAATGGTAGGTATTTGTCATTGTTTGTAAGCATTTTTTTCATTGTTGTAGGGGTTTCTCGACCTCCATTGGTGAAGGATTATCAAACTTCATTCTTGAGGAGAGATGGGTATGTTATTTGTGGGTTAACGTTGTTAAGCTTCCATTAAACCAAAAAGACGAAAATACTAAGGTGGCTAATGCGCGTGATGCGCCGTGCGCGCTATAGCTAGTCATGTTCGGGTAGCTATATCGGTTTGACCTTATGCCACAAATTTAGTTGTTGACAGCATTGAAGAGAGCAAATTAAATATGTAAACAAATGTTTTTAAAGGTATAAATGTCCGTACACTATTTTTAAAAGTTTAAAAAAAAGTCAATCAACATTAATGAGGGCAAATAATTAAATAAGTATTTTAAAGGATATATTTGTCCAAACATTATTCATAAGTGTTATCTCATACTTTTTAAAAGGTAGGGAATGAGAAGTGAACACGCCTAATCCCTAACTATGTTATTCATTAATGACTTTAATAATGGTTAAATGGTAATTACTAAATGTAATACTATGTTCTCTTCACCTTATTCACATAATATTCATTAAAAGTAGGTACATTCAACAAAAATAAGGTCAGGTTAGTGAAAATTAGTTTTAATCTACGTATAAATTGGTAAATTTAATAAAATCTAATATATATATATATATATATATATATATATATATATATATATATATATATATATATATAAAGGGGAGTTTTTCCCAATATTTTAGAGAGCCAGCTAGGATTTTTATTTTAAAAAAATTATTAGAGCGCCATGTAAGATTAGTATTTTTAGAGCGTTACTTATAGAATTATGCCACGTAGGATTGTTATTTTAAAGTGTCACGTAAGATTAAAATTAAAAAAATTTAATTTATTATAAAAATAAAATACTATCTTCTTAAATTGGAAATTTTATCTAAGAGAAAAGAAACAATTTATTTTACTTCGTATATATTAAAAAAAACTATTAAACTTAAAAAAAAATGAAATTCACGTTCAATTGATATTTAAAAAAATTTGATTAGATAAAAAAAATAATGAAAATATGAAAAGTGATTATAATAAAATATTTTATAAAAATATAGTAATAAAAAATAAAATCACGTTTAATTAAAAAAAATATCAGTTTTCTCTAAAAAAACAGTTTTACATTAAATACAAAAAAAAAAAAAAAAATCATTGAAATTAAAAATATATCCTTTCTCTTTTTCTAGAAAAAAAAAATGTTCATCATTAATCATTTATCATTTATTCGTCTTAAATATTAAGTTCTACGTTAACAAAATAAAATTGGCGAATGAAATTTTAAAGTTTAAACTAATAAATATGAAATATTATCTTTTGATATTAGGAATTTCATCTAAATATATAACGAATGAGAGAAAATTCACAATTTATTTTAAAATAAATAAAATAAAAATATTAAATGATAATATAATATACTACGTACAATGAATAAATAAAGTAACAAATTTATCACAAACATAGGAAAAAATTTAAGTTGTAAAAAAATACAAACAAACCGTGCATCGCACGGGTTTCATCTATTGAACAAATATAAGAAAAAATAATAATAAGTTTTAATCAGTCAAAGTAATTTAAGTTCGTCAAAAATAATTTAATTTTCATATGCAAAAACGTACAATAATAATTTCAGTTTCAGCAGCAATAAGGTGAAGGAAATAGGGCCTAATACATATATAATATGATTAGGACATGTAAAAATGTTTTTTTTTAATATTTTTTTAATGTTTTATTTTCCATTATTTAACTAATAAAGGGTGAAAAAAATTATCCCATAGATGAAAATAATCCTGTGAAAAACATCTTCCTTTTGAAAATAAGTTATACTACGATCTATGTCACTCGCATCTATTTCCTTTCACTCGCATCTTCCTCTTCTTCCATAATATTTCTGGTAGGAAACAAGCAAAGGAAAACAATTTAATACATTCGGCTTAAAAATATATGTGCAAAAGAGAGAAAGTAATCGATCATATAGAGTGGAGACAAAAATTAGAGTGAAAATAAATGATATCTTTGGTGTACCATGAAGACATGTAATACATTCAGTTTAGTGATCGATATTATTAGATCGCATATTGGTAATTTACCGTTATTTTTTTTTTTTTGTATAATAAGAACTATATTAGAGATATTATTAGTTGAAATCTGATCAAAATATAACGTGCACCTATGTTGAGAGAAAGAATAATTGAATAAGTTTAAGCTAAAAAAAATTAGCATAAATGTCATGGTACAAACATTGTCATGTACCAAGACTTTCTTCTTCCCCAATCATAGAGTTTTCCCTTTTTTTTTTTTTTTTTTTATAATTGATTAATTTTTATTTAATATTGTTAGAGTCATACAAGACTTAAGTAGTTAGAAGATATACGATTCTCGTATTTGATATGCGGAATAAGAATTTAGCATAAAAGAAATGCTTTACTTGTTAAGAAAGAGGGAAAATTGTCGAATTGGGGAGTAAGGTAGTAAGGGTAGCCATATAGAGATAAAAACTTATACGTAGTATAATCAGTATGTAATTAGGAAAATCTTTAATAACACTTTAAAATTAGACCGACCCATTCACAATACTCATATAAAATTATAAGTCTAAAACTAGTCCCTTATTTTGATTCAACTTATTATGCATGCATGAATATAATTAAAAAAAAAAGAAAGAAAAGAAAGAAAAAAAAGTTCAATTTAATTTATCCATGAATGAAGGGACATAATTTTGAGCATATAGAATGTCAACTCAAATAATACCTGTATTATTTAATGTGTGCGATAATTGAAGCTTAAAATAGATAGAAACGAAGATGTTTATGAACAAATTTTATTCATGTTGAATAAGAATAGAAATTTTATAAAAAATATAGGAAAGTTTAGAATTGTCAAACGTATTATTATTCTAGCTTCTTCTTTATTGAGGCGAAGAAATTAAAGTACATTAAAAGTAAAATCTTTTGCAATGGAGGCCATCGGGAACGCACCAACTTACACAACCATTTTATACATGCATAAGCTCATTCTAATGTTAATTCTTAGCTTGCTCATCCCCCCCCCCCCCCCCCAAAAAAAAAAAAAAAAAAAAAAGGCTATTTTCATCATAAAACATTAATATCACCCATATAGGTGGTATTGATTATTGTTGATAATAAAAATTTAAGAAGAAAATAAAAGTTTGGGATGGAGTTACATTACAATGGACGATTTATGCTTTCAATATCCATCATTTATCACCACCTCTACTAGATAGATGTTTGAGTTGTAAATATACCAAGCAGCAACAATTTTGTTACAAATAAGAGAAAATGAGTTATGATTGGGAAAGCCCAACAAATAAATTAACATGTTTTCTTTACACAAAATTACAAAATTTGAGAAACTTCCTTTAAATCTTCAAAATAAAGAAAGAGATATATGGGAGATAATTCTGGAGGAAGAGAGATGAAATTGTTAAACAACAACTTTTAAAAGAAAAACGTGACTCATTCATTAAATTTGTTAGAGAACATACACAGAAAATAAAATATCCTCTTAGGTTAAGGTTATGTCATATGAAATCATTCATACTCTAATCAATATAAGTGGAATACTCTCGATCTACAACTTAAGGAGATTTACACCAATCTAACTTGACAATTATTAACGGAGTTTTTGTTAGGTTTAGACTTACCATTGAGAAAGTCAAATAAATGAATTGGGATTGAAATTAAATGACAAGGATTAATTGCAAAAAAAATTCACTAAATATGCAGAGCTTTTAAATTGCAAAATTTGATTTTCGAGCTGGTGCGTTTTAAAATTTTCTCATAAAATGAAAAATATGCAAATTAAATAAAAATACGAACATTGGATTCAAATAAAAATAAACTTCCACATTCAATTTATAAAAAAAAAATTATAAAAAAAAAATAATCCACATTCAATTCAAAAATTTTGCACATAAAATCCTTTTCATTTTATACATACAATGGTCTAATTGAGCCGCTCAATAATATATTAAAGCTTTAACCATTATTTGATGTTACTTCATATCATTTTAGAGTAAAAAACTTGTAAAAAGCTAAAATTATAAAAGAGTTTTTATATATTTTAAAAACCTCAACGCTAACTCTATTGTAGTTTGTACTTTGTATCTAACAATGTCTACTACTAGCACAATACATATTTAGGCTATGTTTGAGAATATTAGCTGAAATAGAGTTGAAATTGATAAGTTATCCGATAACGAGTGTTATGACTAAAATGAAAAGAAACTTGAAACTTCAAAGGTACTTTTTTTTTTTTTTTTTTGGTGAAAACT